AAACAATATTATTGCTTTTGTCTTTTTTTTTCTTCTGATTTTTATTCAATTATGCGATTCAAGGAAAATTCATTACCTGACTCGAGAATTCCACGTTAAATTGCACTTGAAAACCGATATCGCACTCATCGCTTCGCGATTCGTGCGATATCGGTTTTCGCGTGCAATTTAACGTGGAATTCCCTCGTCAGGTAATGAATTTTCCTATAGAATTTTATTACTTGAGGACAGCTAAACAATTCAAGATGACCGTTCCATTCATTTAAAATTTTCGAAGCTTATCTAATAAATTCCCTACGATTTTCTGAAGTTTAATTGTTCACATTTCACTGCCTAGGCTAGGCTGTTTTTTTTCTTTTTTTTTTTCAATAATTGTATTTAAGGGGGTCGTTGGGTGCCCCTGAAAACGACACCCAATCACTCTATAATCGGGCTAACAAAGATACCCATCGCATATCGTACGTGGCTGCATAAACAGGCCCACATGAAGACGCCGACTCATTAAAATCGATACCCATGCCAGTCACTGTATATATAAACAAGGTCACAGCGATGCCCAGTCACTTTATAATCGGGATCACGAAGCCCCCACCGCTAACCTTCATTTGGCTCACAAGGATTCGTTGCCGTCTTTTGGATAATTAACACATAAATTAAAAAGGCGTTAACTCCTCCCACATGCTGAACTCACCATCGATATATTATTTAGGACAAATTAAACCAGGTCACCCGGCGCGTAAGCCCCCTTGGCAAAGATCATCCCAAACGATTCTTGAACAAAGTGGCAACGCCAATAAACAATAAAGCGAGAGCAAAAAAATTATAAAGCAAACAACAGCACAAAGGCGGTAGTACATTCCCCTGAGTCCTAACAAACACGGGCGAGACTTAGAATGCTGACCCGCAGAAACGGAGAAAAATATATAACATCTCACCCTGTAATAGGCAATGAATATACTCTCCTCAAACAGAAAACAGGAGCATCCACAGATAGCACAAAAAAATGTACGAAAGAAAAAAACCTGTCATGTCTCCCTGGTTTAGAAGTGGAGTTCGAAGGCCTAATACGGAGCTTACAGCATTTTGTGTTCTGGCCAACACAGCCGCACCTGACTGAGCTCCATTGCCAAAATCTTGTACTGATTGCGGTTGCAAAGGAAGCACAGCCTGCTGCATCGCATCCGACAAAACGGCAGCAGACCGTGCCAGAGCAGAACCTTCTTTACCCGCGTTCAATGAAACTCTTTGCGAAATGCATGATAACTGTGCGTAATTATATATTATTCAGGCTTAAACTAATGCCTAATACGTCATCGCACGGGATAAT